CCTACAGTCGGCCCCGCCCACGGCCCCGCCCAAGCCACAGCCCACCTGCAGCCCTTCCCTGCCTACTCTGCCCCTCCATGGCCGGCCCCCCACCTTGCTGTGGCAGATGCTGAACACGCTGCTTTTGAGGATGCTGCACTGCTTCTCCGCCCAGGAGCGGCGGTGCGGGTTCAGGCTGCAGGGCTCGGGGTTGGCGCTCACGTCCGGGCAGGTGGAGGCCTCCTTCCAGCTGTTCCCGAAGTCCAGCTCACTGCTCACCACCATGTGGTCCCGTGTGGTGAAGTCATTGTTGGAGCGGTCATCGAAGTTCCCACACAGGCCACACACGGTGCCCTGCAGGAGACAAGCATCCCGGGGACTCCAAAAACGGACTGGAGGGAGGGCAGGCGCTTGTCCTGCGAACACTGGGGTAGGGGATGTGGGGTGGGGGCGGCCAGGAGGGGACAGGGAGGCCAGGGCAGGCAGGGAGGCAGCCCACCTTGTAGGAGGGAGCCAGTTTGATGAACACGGTGGTCCTCTTGTCCCAGATAACGATGATGCCCGTGCTGGACTCCACCACCAGGTACTGGCCCACCTCCCGCGTGGTGTAGGCCATGTGGCGACCCTCATCCCGCTGGATCACCACGCGATGCTTGTCTTCCAACTTCAGCTCCGTCCTCTGCCCGGAGGAGAGCCCCAGTCACTGGCTGGTCTGAGGGTCCCCCAGGGCTCACACGTTCCCGGGGCCGGCAGCACTCACCCCCATGAAGATTTTGATGGCCTTGGAGCAGGTGACTCCCGTGGTGCCACAGGGAACGTTCTCGGTGATGATGCTGAATGAACCCCGTGAGGAGTTCTGGCCGCAGTAGTCCTGGGGGCCACGAGGGGGAGGTCAGCCAGGACGGCTGGGCCCCAGGTACTCCCCAGGGCACACCCAGCCTGGCTGATGGGACCGCAGCCACTGAGCACACAAACCTGGCCCTGCTCCTGCCCATCCAGGGCCCTGACCCAACCGCAGGCCCATCCCCTGTCCCCAGGGATCATGGTGCCCCAAAGGGCTGTGGGATTTGTATCTGGAGAGCCTCGTGGGCGGGTCCTAGCTCTGGCCCTTACTTGGCTCCCCATACAGGTACCCTCAGTCCCCATGGCTGGGCAGTCAACCCCACCCACCTCGTGCACGCACAGGAGGGCCACAGAACTGGAATGGTACAGAGGGGATTTTACCATCCCCACCCACCCCTGGCTAGAAGGTCAAATCTCCCTGCAGGCGTGGGTCTGGGGCTGAGGAAAGGCCAGCCCTCCCAAGTCTCAGGACTTCTCAGGGAGCTGAGGGCCTCGCTTGGGGCAGGCAGAGGGTCCCTGACCACAAGCAGCCAGCTAGGCCGTGGCCATGACCGCACCTGAACAGCCACGTAGGAGCAGTGTCCGTCAAAGTCATAGTACTTCCTATCAAAGGTGATGTAGTGGCCGCTCCCATAAATGGAACAGGTGCCGTGGCACACAGCCTGGGAGCATGCCCAGCGTCCTTTCTGGCAGGTGCTGAGGAGGACAAGAGAGGAGCCTGAAGGGACCCAGGGGCCGAGGCCCCCCCACCCACTCGTGGGTGCCTGGAGGAGACCCTGGGCACCGGGCAGACAGCTCTCTGTGCTGCCCACGCAGGACACCTGCAGGCCCATGCTGGCCCCAAAAGTGGCTCCAAATGCCCCTCCCCCCCATGGCTTCAAGACCAGCAGCTGACATGAGAGACACCCCCCTGCCAGCCGTGGGACAGGGGCCGCCACACGACCTCGCCAGACCCAGGCGGACCCCCCAGGAGAGGCACCTGCCCCTCGGCCCATTCTCCAGTGGCCACCCCTGTGGAGCACGTGGGGCCTGGGAGGCAGCCAGGACGGGCCGGGCCAGCTTACCAGGTGTTGCAGTCCACCTTGATCTCGTCCCCGGGGGAGTACAGGTCCTTGTTGTGGATGCAGGGGCACTCCTCCTCCACCACGCAGCCACCCCGGCCGTCGTCCATCAGTCCATCAGGGCACACGCAGCCACTGACACACTCTGTGTGGTACTGGAGACAGCCCGAGGGTGGGGTTCAGGGGTGGACCAGTGAGGCTGCAGCCCTCCCTGGGGTCAGGATTGGATGCCCGGCCAGGATTGACAATGCAGTCTCCATCATGCCCTGGACCTCCCACCTCTCTCTCTGGCCCGGGCTCAGGCCTCCCTGCTCCCTGCTCAGGCCCGCCACTGGGCAGGGAGACTGGTGAGGGCTGCCCACCGAGGGCCCTACACTGGCCCCTGTGTCCAGTGGCCCACAGCTGTCGCTTCCCTCCCAGGGACAGGGACAGCATCAACAGGGCCTGCATCCTGAGGACTCAGCACCCAGACCCTGGCCAGGGACACAGCTCAGGAGCGAGGCTCAGCCAGCCAGCCAGGGACCCCCCCACCCACAACAGTCCCCCCAGCACGCACATAGCCGGCAGCCAGCGTCTGACAGCTGAGGGCTCGGGGCTTCAAGGTGGCCAGTGCGGTCAGGTTATTGCAGTCCATGTGGATCTTCGGGGCCACACAGCCTGTGGGACGGAGGGGCCACCTCAGCTCCAGCTGAAGCTGGGGGTCTCAGGCAGGCTGGGGAGGTGTGGCCAGGCCAGGGAGGAATGGCCAGGGAGGGTGACTGGGGCGGATAGCCGGGGTGGGCAGGCGGGTGGGCGGAGAGAGGTGGCCAGGCTGGGGAGGGGTGGCGGGGAGGGGTGGCGGGGAGGAGTGGCTGGGGAGGGGTGGCTGGGGAGGGGTGGCTGGGGAGGGGTGGCGGGAAGGGGCGGCCGGGAAGGGGCGGCGGGAAGGGGCAGCAGGGGAGGGGTGGCTGGGGCAGCACCACTTACTCTGGCCGAGCAGCCGAATCTGCATACAGTGCAGCTTGCCGTTCCGGCAGACGCTGTGGGAGAGGCCGGAGATGAGCAGGGCCCACGCCGGGCGACCACAGACAGCAGCAGCTTCCCCGGGACACATGTGAGCCTGGCGACTCTCAGAGCTCCCGCCCAGGCCCCCCTCAGCCTCGGGCGTCTCAGCTTCCCCAGGTCTCAGGGGCCCAGCACCCACCATCGTTCCTCCTGCCTGACGACCACGTCCCCCGCCGCCAGGTACAGGCCGCGGTGGTAGCAGGAGCACTTGGCCAGGGGCACGCAGCGGCCCTTCTCATCCAGGAAGGTGTGGGCGGGGCAGCCACAGCCGTCCACAGGCGCGAAGCCCTCGAGACAGTGGCTGTCGGCCTCGGAGAGGGAGCGGCAGGTCTGCTGGCAGGTGGTCAGGTTGTACAGGAAGACCTGCGAGTTGGGGCAGGAGCCCACGTCCTTGTCTGCAGAGGACCATGGGTGGCGTGAGGGGCATGAGGAGCCAGACACGCGGCTCCCATCCCCAGGGTGGCCCAGGGGCCAGGAAGTGCACACTCTGGGACCCGTTCCCACACTCGGCCGCCACAGTGCCAGGCCTGTCCCAGGTTCCGTCCCTGCTGTATGGCCACCCCTTGCTGTGGGAGGGGCTGGTTTCCCACCACCGCCGGCCCATGAAGCTGAAGCCTGGTCCGCAGCTGCCTGGGAGCCGACCCCTCTCCCTGGACCACCCGTGCTCAGGGCCCCAGCCCATCCTCAGGACGCAGCACACAGGGGCAGACTCACTGCAGACGTGCTCTCGCCAGCCCCACAGCATGACGCCCTTGGTGGCACAGGCGCGTGCGTAGGAGGACAGGGCGGCGCACAGGCAGTCCTCATTGTTCTGACAGTTGCATGTGTCATATTTGCACCTCTGGGTGACAGAGCAAGGCGGGCAGGCGGTGAGGCCGGGAGGCAGAGTGGCTGGCACTCACACATACAAGGTCGCATACCTCACACGCACAACCGGCGGGCCGTGCCGGGTGCCCCGAGTCCACCTCACGTGTGGCGTGGGGGGCTGGGGTGCCCTGAGTCCACCTCGATGGCGTGGAGGGCTGGGGTGCCCTGAGTCCACCTCACGTGTGGCGTGGGGGGCTGGGGTGCCCTGAGTCCACCTCACGTGTGGTGTGGGGGGCTGGGGTGCCCTGAGTCCACCTCGATGGCGTGGGGGGCTGGGGTGCCCTGAGTCCCCTGAGTCCACCTCGATGGCGTGGGGGGCTGGGGTGCCCTGA